AATGATCCGCGATATAATAAAAGTTTTCCGAAATTTTCCGCACATATAGAGGGGGGGAGGTCAGAAGAGGGGGGGGGGGTAACGTAAACCACCGAATTAAATTGGTCTGGCCTAATAACTGTTTCGTGATTAAAAGTATTTAATAATCGATTGATTTTAGAGAAGTTATATGAAGGCTGACGAAGCCGCAATTGAAAACCTAACAAAGCGACTGAAAATAAATGGATAAATCCTTGACGAACTTGTAAATCGTGACTGGACGGGACGGTACAGAAATTTATTAATTTTTTTTAAATAATGAAATTTGTTGAAATAATATTTTCTGCTAACCGTTTTATCAACAGGTTACTCAAGCCATGTGTCAATCTACGAATGTATCTATGCAAGTGCCAGCCAGCTTCTATGGTAATCGATGAATCATATCCGAATAATGGAGATGCAGTTGTTTTTGAAGACAATGGGTTAAACGTTGATGCAACCATTTATGATAAAGCAATCGTGGAATTTTGTAAATTATTTTGGCGAAATTAATTTTGATTCGTGCACCATTAGAAAGTGAACGTCAAAAAAAACAACCGCTTCAAAATAATTTTAACGATAATGTATTTGAACAGATAGAAGTAACTTCAATAGTCGAAGAACAAGCTAACACTAATATAGGTACAGAGCCATCAGAGAAAGCAGTGCGTGTGTCAGATAATAAAATCCGACAATATATATCAGGCTCATTAGCATTCCTAGAAAGTCATCAAATATTAGGTTGACAGTTGCCTTAAGAGTTCATTAAAAAATTTTTTTTTTATTAATTTTGCCAAGTTCTTTGTTGAGTATTGTTTGATTTATATGCAAAAGCATGGACGTTTGTCGGACTGTCAGCCGGACAGCTCAAAAAGATCAAGCCATCCAAAATATACAATTGATGGGAGCACATAGATTGCACTACCATAAATTTGAGGTAATAAGATTCATTCAGGGTGTAAAAACGCGCAAATTTATACTTTACAAATAAAAATACAATTATACCTGGTGTACAAAGAAATTATCATATTTACAAGTCTGAAATATTTAGCACTGATTGGAAATGAATCTACTTCTCATGATTAATAGTTACTAATAGGCGGTAATTCTAATGTAAACACGAATCTACTCGACTTTCACTAAATCAATTAAATTGTCTTTTGGCTGTTTCATTGTATCCGGAAAAAACTCTAAAAGATTCTCAAATAATTCTGTACGCGAATTAAAAGAACCGGGTGTTTTATCTATAATAATAGTAATTTTATATAAGAATTCTTCTATAAAATTGAATGGAGTTTAAAGACTATTACCTCCAATTTTGTGAAATAGGTACGAAGTCAATTCGCGGAATTCAGCGCTTTCAGCCTCAATCGAGTGATTTACTACTTGACCAAGCTGAACTTGAAGATACTTAAGTGCTTTAACTGTGTCGCCATCGTAACACATTTCTCGGAATCTGATCAAAATAATAGGTGAGTGAGACCATAAAGTATAAATGTGATACGGCTTTCACATGAAGGACATATTTGTTACTTTTGCTTCCTTATCTGGAATTGAATACGCCGTAATAAATCTTCAGGTTCTGGTCTTTAATTGATAAAAACATCAGAAAATAATATAATATTATAAAATCAACAGTTACATTATCTTATACCTGACTAAGTGTAATTCCCAAAAATCATCCAGTCTCTGTTGTTTAAGTACTTCTGTTTCAACAGCTCTCCCACCAAATACGTATTGGACTTTGTGAATGTTGTCGTATACCATTTGATGCGCGTATCTCGGCCGCGGTTCAGTTGTTTCATTGCTTTCCCAATATTGAGCATCACAGATTTCACTTTGATAGATTTTAGTCCACTTGTCTAATCGCAGATCATATACCCAAAACGAGTTTTTGACAGCTTGAGACCTTTTGTCTTTCTTATCTTTCAAACCGGAAAGAACATAAAATTCTTGCGTATCTACATCAAAAGTTGTGCGTTGTGTGAAAACAGAATCATGATCCTCATGTGTTGCATAATCGGCAATTAGCTCGTGAACTAAACCAGCATTAATATCGTAGATTAAAAAGTCACTGGTAATATTAAATTGATAAAAGTCAAAATTATTATTGTAAGATTTTGTCATCTATCAATATAGTATATTATTATACAAACTTCAAAAAAGTGTTATCTCGATCTCCTCCTATTATGAATAGCAATTTTTCATTCTGGTCCAATAACATTGAATGTCCGATGCGTGATTTAAGTGGAACATAGTCAGTATTTGACTCATCGCTAGGCCTATAACATTTTAAGTTAAAAAATTTTACAATAAATAATTATATAAAATAAGCTCTAAAAATATAATGTGAAAATAACAAAATATCTGACCTGACTAACTTCCATTCTTTAGATCTTATATTATAACTGTACAAGCCA